CTATCCAATAAAGGCCTGGACCGCGATGCACTTGAGTGAAATAAAGGCCCGGGCCTATATTAGAGAATTTACGGTATATATATATATATATATATATATATATATATATACCAATACCAATGGTTATTCTGAATACAAATGCATGCTGCACTTTTCATATTTCAATGTTTCTTCTAAAACTGAATAAAACGTGTTCATTTATTTCTCTGACATAAAACACAAATAAATGCCACTGAATTTCAGGCTTTGAATATTTTCAGATGGCACTGTGCATACTGTGTGAATGGCAGAAGGTGCAGATATATAAACAAAACAAACAGAAGCAATAAAATTCATGCAGATGAGCTGGAGCTCTTAAACCCATGCGAACATCATGCAAGGAAAAGCAAAACACAATCTAAAAGCTAGAGCACCATCCCCAACACAGAACTTTCCGATGCATCAAACATGCAACTCCAAATATGAGACGGCACCAACATGCATAAAACATGAGCCAATAAAACCAGCAGGACTCTAATGGCTGGAAAAACAAAGCAGCTATTGAAATGTAAACAAGGCGACATTCAGATGAGTGGGTGGCATTTCCAAAGTGCTTGGCAATGACGATTTCTACAAATAAGAGGAGCAGCATCACTGCCAAACAGAATTAAAGGACACATAAACACATCTCATAAAGGTGAAAACCAGCATGCAAAATCAAAACACGCACACCTAAAAGCATCTTGCATCTCCCACTTAGGCCCCATTTACTTCACAACACAAATTAGGAGGAAACAAAACAGTGGCGCACCACAGAATGGCACTACCTATGAGGAGGATGGTATGAAATATGGAAAAGACGTGAGTCATTATAAATTGGTAAAATAGATTCATGAGGAATTAGACAAAACAGAGTGTCTGTAAACTGAGGTTTTCAGACACGTTCCTAACATCACCAAAGGTCCTTATAAGGCTTTAACTTTCACAGACAGATGAGTGTGAGAATGTACATGGGGCTTAAATTTTCACACAAGCAGGAAAAGGAAAGCTGGCAGAATGAGAAGCAGCAGGGAAAGAAGTGGGCGTTTCTACGGCTGGCAGGAAGGTTCAAACCCCGGAGAAGCTCTGCAGCTGGCTTTACCTCAGAGCAACATATAACCTGCGGCCGGGGATCCACTTCAACCAGCGAGGCTTCTCCGTTCATTTTAGGCTGCTCCTGTTCCTCTGTAGGATCGGCCATCTTGGTCTCCTCAGCATGGATGAGGCCATCTGGAGATTCTTCAGGTGTCACCATTGGATCATCCGTACTTTCCTCAGTCTCTCGTCCACTTTCTTTCTCCTCTTTCTCATCTGTCTTCTCTACATTTGTCTCCTCTTTCTCATCTTTCCTCTCTACCATGGTCTCCTCTTTAATGGACTCTTCTTCTTGATTGGTTTCTTCCGTGGGCTGGCTGACCTCTACAGCAATAGATGGAACAACTGCAGCAGACACTTGCTGCTCCTCATCCTTCTTTATCTGCTCTTCTTCCTCTTCCTCCTCCTTCTCTTCTGGTATTTTAGTTTGACAGATGGATGCTGGAACATGAGCATGGTACTCTGCTTCCTCCTCACTCTCGCTCTCAGAAGAAGCCCCCTCTGGCTTCGAGGGCGCTACTTCCTCCACTGCAGTCGCTTCCTCTTCAACCTTCTCTTTCTGGTCCTGAGGTTCCTCTTCGGCAGGGGGGATGACAGGAGAGTCGACCGTAATGGTCACAGCCCCGGATTTGGCTGCTCTGGAAACTTCTTGGATGACAATAGTTTCCTCGATTTCAACTTCGTGGGTCTACACACATGTACACAGAGTGCACAGGCACACACCATACGATGCACATAGAAGCAAAAAAAATGACACAAAAACAAAATATGATCATTGAACAAAAATGAAAAAATAAAAAAAAAGAACATAACTGAGTTAACTGTGAAACATAAGGGGAAAATAAGATGATTCATTAAATGTTTCTGCAGGGTTTCCACACATTTTACATGGAAGCTTTCCAGACTTTTTTATATTTGAACTTTCCAGAATTCACAACCTTTTAACTTAATGTAAAATATGAAATACTAAAGATGGTTATTCTAATACTACTAGAATATATGAGGAAGGAAGGAAGGAAGGAAGGAAGGAAGATTAAAAAGAAGAAATAACAGAGTAATAACATAAATAATTCTGGAAATAATTTTTTTTTTTTCCAAATCCATACTTTCTGTGTAGGAACCCCGTTACTGGGTCGACTTAAAAAATGGCAGTGGAAACAGAGCAGCTGAGACCAAATGAGGGCATGAAGGAGGCGACAGTCATGAATGGAGGGATGGAGGATCACAGACAATGTTAGTACCACCTTTGCAGGTTCTTTGGTATCAGAGCTGGGGTTATCAGCTGGAGAGGCTTCTGTTTGGGGAACACTGACCTGCATGACAGAGAAGTTAGGAGAACAACATCAATGAAGCACCAACAGTGAAATCATTGTTAGCAGCTAGAAACACTGGGATGCTTGTTAGCACAGCATGGGGAGGGAGGCTGCCTTTGTCATTTGCTCTTCCACTTCTTTTCCTTTCTCCCTGCAGCCTGCTGTTCTGCTCAGACACAAACTCGCTACACAGGAAGAACACAGCGGGCAGAGGGTCAAAATGAAACTAGAAATATTTGCTCACAAAAATAAGACAAAACAGAAAAAAATGCTACCGAAGAGTATTGTCCCCATACATGGAAATATGAAAGTGAAAACACATAATTTCATCTTAGCCTGGGTGAAATTATGTGCCTCAGTATCTGCTGCCTCCAACAGACTGAGGATGCAGATCTGGCACACTGTAGAAGATATGCAATCATTCAAAGCCAGAAGTGACAAACCCATGCAATGAACAGCTGTTAGTCAATTTAAATCAAATTAATTCTGAAAATAGATCATCAACAAGTGGCTGAGCATTAAATGTTCCCAGAAACAAAATGAATTCATGCAACACCAACAGAAGGCTTCTAAACACATCTGTCTATCATCCTTTATTTACTAAAACATTAAAAGATGTCAGTTTACTTTGAAACAGGCCAACTGGCAGCAGCAAAGAAAACAAGGTGAATCAGAAATTAACGGTTGTTCTAGAGATGTCCCAAGTATCAGCTCAATTTTATTAATGATCCACTGAGCTAAAACTCAACCCCTAATAGTCCCATTAATTCATTCTGAGGTTTCTTCAAACAGTTTAATGCTTTCCACCCTTTTCAATGACACTTGCAGCATGGAGAAGCCTGTACTGTATGCTGCAGTATAAGTGGGAGAGAAAACATCTAAAAGAAAAAAAAATCACAGCAAAAGGCTAAGTTAAAGAAGCAGGATAGAAAAAGCTGAATCATATATATAAATATATAATATATAAAGTGAGTCAGATAACAAATTATCATCTGAAAGATAAATAATCCCACAGAATAGGAAAAAAATTCCCAATACTGGTATCTATGTATCATTTTTATTATTATAGACCTGATTTATGATCGAATTAACCTTTTTTTATTTAACAGTGTAAAATCAATAGATATACATAATTTTATAAACTGGGTAGGACTGTGTAAGAGGGGTTAAACAGGGACATCGCTAGTTTTTAGGGTTATATAAGGTAAACTGACTCCTTAATGTTTAGTATTAGCAGAAGCACCTCAGTGGCAGAAAGTGCAGAGACAGGATGAGACAAAGACGAAGTGCAGACAGCAGTGGGAGCAGCAGCTGAGCATGTGGTCACAGCGCCTTCTAGTGTTGATTCAGTAGCACTGCAGGGAGGCCGAGTGGATGAACAGCACTCGGCAGCAGAGCGTCTGCTGAGAAGCACTGAAGCTATTTCGTCTTCAAGGCTCTACAGCAGAGAAAACGCAGACAAAACAGGCAGTAAAAGCATTTACTGAAGAACAAACAGCCCTTCTGAATCGTAAAGCAACAGTTTCTCAGCAACTACAAGTAAAAAGTGTTTTAGTAGAGCAGAGTAGAAATGGAGTGAGAGTAAAACTCGGGTGCTGAGAGAAATAAAACCAAACATTAGTCCAGATATCAAAAAACAAAAATTTAAAGGATAATGAAGCGTTGGAAAAAATGCCAGGAAATAAACCAATAAACAGCAAGAAGGAAAGAAATAAACATTCAACCATCAAATGCAACAGAAGTTCCACCTTCACATAGAAGCACCTTAGTTTGCTTCGGCTAACAAAACACCCCAGCAATCATCAGCAGTCGAGATGAAAACATCCAGATGGACGTACCACTTGTTGCTGCTGGACACGTATCGTGGTGGCAGGAGAGGAGGTGAGACGTTTCTCCCACTGGTTGGGCTGAGGAGGAGAGGGAGGTGGTGCCTCCATAAAGGAGCGCTTGAGCTGGCTAATGCTAGCCTGGTGTTTCAGAACCTCGTCTTGGGTCTTATCGAGGTCCTGATGGGGGACGGGAAAGGATACGGGGAATGAGGGATGTGGATGGAAGTAAATCAATTAAGAAAGGTGACAGGGATGAAAGGGAGCAGAGAGGAGGATGGGAGGAAATCAAAGGAGGGGGGATTAGGGCAGACAAGGATGGTTTTCAATAGTGTGTTCAGAGCAGAAGAAAATGGAGTTTCAGTGGAAGTATGGAGAGAATATGAGTCAGAAATGTGATGAAAAAAAGAGGAAGATGGAGGGAAAAGATAAAAGGAGAAGAAACGAGGGAAAAAGATCGTTTATAGACATATTAGTCTGTCAACTCAATGAGTGACAAGATGGAGGGCAGATTTCACTGAAGCTGTTTCTGTTGTTAAAAATGAGCTCAAAACTCTAAATAAACAACCTGACTTCAGTGAAACAGCCTTCCAACTTATCGAAGTTTTCATAAATAGTCATAAACAGGATGGCTGAATGTACAACATGGAGCTGATAGTATTACCTCTTTCTGCCATTTACTTTGACTTAGTTAACCCGTCTGCTTCACCTCCCTTTATATTTGGAGATTTTTTTTCCTGCCTTAACTCTATTTTACTTTATATTTCTATGTGCAGTACTGTTGAAACATACTTTTTACATTTCGTTTTCATCATTAAAAGTGTTCAGATGATAATAATGTTAAAATGTAATCAGCGTTTACTGAGGAAAAAACTAAGCCTATAAACTGCTTGTGAGGGAAAACTCTCATCAAATCTTTGCACCAAGTTTTAAGCGTCTGGAGGGATTTGGTCAATTTAGTCACATTCTGTGAATTGCTAAGCATGGATGGCTAATTTAAGGAAGTGATTTTATGCTGAGCTTTGACTAGGCCACTCCAAAACACTACTGTTTCTGTTTTTTAGCGATTAGAAAGGACTGACTGGTGTAATTTGGATTACTGATCTGTTCAAAGAAGACTTTATGTAGGAGTCAAACATTCAGAGAGCCGTTCTGGAGAACAGAACTCATGGCTCCATCATTTAAAGCGCTTTCCTCCAGCTTTCAAAGCAGACCATCACAGCATCAACACTGTGTTTAACTTTTAGAAAGGTATTATTTTTTATATATTTTTTTTTTAAAAACCTTCTTACTTAAGTAAATAAAATTATCTTTTAAAAACTATATTTTGCATCAGACTCAGACTCCTTTTTTCAGTTTTAAAATGTGTTAAATGAACAATGCTAAAACATTTAGGAAACCAGAATTAACTTGGAAAAATAAAAAAATATTTTTCTTATAGGTGAGTTACTAAATATTTATTTTTTTCATTCCTTCAAGCTGATGAAAATAAAGCAACTTTCATGAGAGAAGACATCTAAAATAAATACCAACTTAAAATTACATTTGATAGAAAATTTTGCAAACGTTATAAACCTTTGATCAACTATTTAACATCTGAATCTCAGCTTGTTCAATAAAGCTGTATCCAGTTAAAAACCCTGATCTCTAATAGATCCGTTTGATGTGCTGCCATCTGTAGGAAATCGGTCAGTAGTTTAAAAGCAAAACCTAAAGTTTGTCTTATTTCTCCATTCTTTGAAACCAGGAAAAATATTTCCGATTTTACCCATCTAACCCTTTAAACTATCTAAATATTTTATGGCCTAATTAGTACAATGGCAGTAGATCACTATCAGCCCCAATTTGAACAAACAGGTGTTTTGGGTTCGGTATAGCCAATCACAGGAATGAAGCTCCTTGGACAGAGGCAGGGGTTAGTGGGGTTAGATGGAGCTGCCTGGCAATAATCAAACTGACCAATCAAGGACAAAACAAGATAAAAACAGCCACACAAGCATGCACAGAGCATGCATTATAGTGGCGTCAATACACCACAGATCCTATTCACAAAGCAGCCATTGTGAACGCTCCGGCCTGGGAAATCGTTTCTAGATGAGCAAGTGTCTTCTGTGCTTTTGTGTTAAAGCACATCAAACAAATAGTTTGCATTTCACACATTCAGCCTGAAGAAACCTCCAAATTCTTTACTAGCAGAATGGCTGCAACACTTTAAGATGGAGATTCATGATTCAATCACTTTAAGTTAAAGTAGCTAAAGAAGCCGTTGATCAAAATAGCTGCTGTGCAAATCAGGACGATTAGCAATGAACATTCTTTAAAGTTTGTCAACCAGACGAGATTGGCTGAAAATCTGCAGGTAGCTGAAACTGAAAGAAAACTTTCACACGCCGGCATGCACACAGAGCCTGAGAGTGCGAGAGGGCAGCGGCCTCCTGGGTTTGTAGCTCTGATGGCGTTAGAAAGAGTAGAAACATGGAGATCTGATTTTCAGCCATCAGTCGACGCCAGTACCAACCTCCAACATTAAATTACTGTGCCTCACATAAATATTGTCCCCATGCACTCTCAATGGGCTCTGGAAGGCAGACATACAGCACAGAATGCAGAAAATAGAGGAAAAATTACTCAAATGTGTAAAGAAAATAATATAAATCAAACAATTTTAATGTAATATTTCTAAATAAAACATGGGTGCAGGAACAACCAAACATTTTGGTTTTTCTGACGCTCCGGATGCTGCTGCTCCTGGAACCCATGCCACCATCTTATTTAGAAACACCACACCACCGACAGGCATGCACAGAAACCAACAAACCCCCTACACATGTTTTCAACAATCCCAAAATGATGCAACGAACCACAGGCATGAAGCAATACCCCAAAACACAACCTGTGAAACTGACAGCCACAGCAACACATCTGAAAGTGAAAATAATGGATGAAAAGGCCCATTCTTGATCAGCTTTTACAAACCCAGACCTTTGATTGAGTTTCTATCTTCTACAGAAGTGATTGGATCTGATCTGATCGGGCAACTTCAACCATTAAACCAACGAAGGCGAGCAGAGATGATGATTGACAGATCAATACACAATCAAGTCATCAATAACAGTGTTATAAACCTGAGAGGGGGCGGGCTCAGCACATCCAGGTGACTGTTGCTGGAGTATTCAGGGAGAAAGTGAGGACATGTTAGGATTACTGTCTTTCTACTCCTTTCCACTCGCTTTAAACTATCTCAAGATCCAGCTTAGATTTGAGTTTAGATTAAATCAGACCTGGGACGGCATGGCTTCCACTTCAGCTTGGTTCAAGTTCACCTCCTTAGCCTTCAGTGTGGCAGACATGGGAGGTGGAGGTCAAAATGTAGGGGGGAAATGGGGGGAAGAAAACGGTGAAATGGATGATGGGAAAAGCTTATTCCCTTGTATTAGGGAACACTCCTGTGTGTTTGTGTGAAACTGTATGTATGACGTTGATAAGGTGTTATTCTATATAGAAGAACCAAATATGAGGATTTAACATCTTTATTTGTTTTTAATTTATTGTACAACAAAATAAAAACCAAGTGCAAAGATTTGTATCCACTAGAAACAAGCTGAAATTTGCTTTACTTTAACCTCTAGTCTTTTTTTATAATAAAAACGAAATATTCTCAATGGCTTTTATAGCAAGCTAGCAGGTATGTAGCGATAGGCTTAAAAAGTTTACACATTATATAGAAAATGTTAAAACTGGCTTTAAACCATTCCTACACTGCTTAGCCTGATAGCAGAGGTTTTCTTTAACTGGGGTATAAAATGAAGCAGCGCCATGTCTTTCCAGCATTTAGCTATCTACTGCCCGTTAGCCATTGTTACCCAAAAAAGCTATAAAACATTTTCCTCGCCCACAAGAAAGAACTTCTTGATTCTTTTTAAACATTCTTAAAAAGAGTCAATAGTGTAAAAAGTAAAGCTGCTGTCAGATGATTTTCTATTGAGAAATAAAGGTTAGAAAATTAAGGTTTTTTTTTCTTCTTTTTTACAGACCAAGAAATATCATATTGAGATATTTGCATCACCCGTTTTGGAAAGTACATGTATACTGAGATTACTCTACTAATGGATCAACTGAATGAGATTTTAATGGCAGATAGGTGCACAATATTAAATAATGATAATGTAGAAGTCCAAAATATTTGGCTTATTTTGTGATCAAATGGTGTTTGCTATAAAATCTAATGTTATGTTAACACAGTTCAGTTTAAAAACATTGAAATAAATGGCAGATATAAAGTAACGGGAAAATGTTTTTCTTATTTTTCCTCAAACAAAAACAAAATATTCCCAACAAGCAAATTTTGTCGATGAAAATGAAGCTAATTATAGAAACATATTTTTAACAATTTCTTTATAAAATCTTTGCGCTCATCTCTAACACAATTTTCCAGCTACAATATAAGGCAATGGTCTATAAGACTATTCTTTTTATTTAAAGGTGAGGCTGCTTAAACTAATTATCATGCTAAGTGTATGAGTTTTAACAATTTTAGCCAAGTTGACTTTTCTCACCCGGATTTTTTCCTCTGAAAACAAGATTTCTTAAGGTAATTAAGATAATATCACTAATTGCACTTTTTTTTATAGCTTAGTAACCCCTTTTAAAACTACAGCTGGCAATTTACGATGAACGGGGTGTTTGTAAAGCAGCAGAGTGCAGGCTAGCTGCAGTAGCTAACAGAGAGGCAAGCATGCACAATAAACGTTTTTAAACTATTGGTCTATTGCATATACATACATACATATATACTGTCTATATAACTAAATCAACAGGAAAATTAAGGTCTTTTATAAAATTATGACTCTTAATCAGTATGGTAAATAATTTAACCAGCAGGATAAATATTTGCATTTGCTTTTCTGCTCCATCTAATCGATCTTATCAAACCATACAGTGATAATCTCCTACCAGCCCATTCCTATATTTATATAAATGTGTGTATAATTTATTTATTCCAAAAGTTTATCTTTTCCATACATTTTTATTAATTTAATACATCATAGAGCAGCTGAATGTTAAAAAGGTAATAAATACAGAGTAAGAATCTAAGAAATGTATACATATTTTTAAATACTACATATTTTTACCTGCTCTGGTGATTTATGAGACATTGTCATCAGAAATCACTTCTGTTTTAATTTTACACTTTAAATACATCTACTTAGACTATATTTTATGTAAGTACAATTTAGCTTTTATCTCCCTTTTTAAAGTAATTTCAATTATTTCCTTCTTTGCTTTGGAAAAAGTAGAGTAAGGTGCAGGGCAGTTAAGAAGAGGTTGACTATCAGGGTGGCAGGGAAAAACAAAAGGAAGCATTTGCATTGATCAGTGTTTACATTCTCACCAAGACGGACAAAAAAAAAAGTGAAAGTGAGAAATCTGAATGTGTGAATTTATGCGGCAGGATCACACATCTCCTGGATCCAGCTGGCGGCTGCATGGCGCCTGGTGTGAGGGGGGGTGTGTGTCGGTGTCAGAGCCGAGGCTTCCTGGTCTACACCAGAGCTTAAATGATGCTCGTCTGGCTGGTTGCTGATGAACACAGGCAAAGGCGTCTTTCTTCGACTGGAGACTGTGATCTCCAAGTAGGACAGGGTCAGACCGAGGGGTGTGGCTAAAATAAGGGCTAAAACCACTGACTGGCTTGCTGTCAGCATCACAACAAGCAGGAAGAGTGCCAAGAGGAAGGGGAGGAAGAAAGGGGAGGGGTTTAGGAGGTAACGATGGAGAGAAGCAGTAAAGTTAGATGGATGGAGGGGGCTCAGAGGAGGAAGAGAGGGATGGGAAGAGAAAGAAAAGGAGGAGAGCGAGGAAAAGGAGACAATGTGAGGGCAGGTAATGGAGAGTTTGGGTAAATGTAGCTGCTTTGTGTGGAAAGGAAGAGTAGGAATCAGTTTTAAGACCTTTCGGGGTAGTTGTGTCAAAAATGCCAGAAAATGAGTCCACTGGGATGCTAAACTGTTAATAACTGGATGTAACTTAGACCTAAATGTGCTGAAAGCTGAATATTTATGTCCAGAGGTGTTAAAATAAATCCTCAGCTTTCCTGCTAATCCTGAAAATATATTCTTGGGCAGACACCTGCTTTCACTCTTGCCTAAAACAGATAGAAAACCCAAGATAAAGCAGGCAAATTTAACCACACCCTTCAAAGAGAACCACTGTCGCAAATCTGTCAAGCCAGTTGTTGCTGTGGTAACGCCCTCCTCGTGTTTCACAAACTCTGAACTGAGTGTCTGGGGGGCAGCGAGTGGCTGAGAGGTTGGAGAGGTTTGAATCAGGTGTCCAAGATCAGCAAGCTGCTGATCGGTGAGAAACGAGAGGGTGTTTGAGGGAAGACTCCACAACGAGTGTGCGGCCGCTTCCGCCTCGTTGGCGCGGTCGTCGTCTTCTGAGATGTCTGAAAGGGCGCGGTCAAGCTCCGAGATGGAGTCGAGGGAAGGGGGGATGGATGAGAGTGAGGATGATGAGGAGAAGGAGAGAGGAAACATAAAGATTGACTAACGGATGAGGGGGGGAGGCGAGGTAAAACATACATGGGGATAAAATGGAGCAAAATAGAGGGAGAGTAAAATGCATAATGTTGGAAAATTAAAAAAGCAAGATGTGAAAAATGAACAGAAACAATAAACCAAAATAAGTAACAGCATTTCGTGACAGGAAAATATAAAATCATGCAGATGGGATGTGGGAAAAACAAATTATAGGGGGTGTTTGTGGAGGAAAAAGAGAAAGGGAAAGAAACATTACATTAGTCAGTGAACGACACAGCACAACAGCTCAAAAAGTGAACGTAGCAGGGCAGAGAGAAGTGCAGAAAATAAAGGGCACGAGTGTTCAGAGAAACTGTCAAGTGAGGATCAGGAGAAAAGGGTTGGCAGTGAGGAAAAGGTGGCAAGACAGGAGACATGCGCTGCAAAATACACTGCTGGGGTTTTAGGAGGGAGCAGTGCCCCCCTGTGGACACACTGGGATATTGCTGTTCAGGTAGGAGGATGCAGAATGAGTGCACGGTCAGAGGTAATAGCTATTCAGGTAAAAATTAAAATAAAAAAAATGGAGACTTATGTCAGGAGAGGGACTTTCTACTAAAGAAGAAACATCAGCTTCCAAATATATTGAGAGAAGGTGGAAAAGGGTCGGCCTAAAAAAATGGATCTTTAATTATATTTGCGTAATCCTGCACTGAGAATAATCCAACATTTCATGAAAGAACATTTAATCAACAGTTAATATGATCGGACAAAGCATCAGCTTTTGACGCCTTAAATGACTCTTGATTAATACTTCATTTATCTCTTCTTTCTTTTATCGTGAAATTTGTGAGTACATTATAATTTTTTTATGCATGTTATATATGATTTATTCATATTTTTAATTTTATGCTGAATAGAGCTAAAAATAAAACTGTATTCCATTTGAATGTGTGTGAGTTGACACAGAGGATCATTTATATTGGTTAATCTTCAAAATACGAAACTAGTGGAGGACATGTAAACTCAATAGGGCAGATGTTTCAAAAAGAAACCAGACCTACAATGTTCTTTATAGAGAATAGTAGGAAATTGTGACATTTAACAGTAACCAGTCATCCACCGTTAGATCCTCCTCTATTCTGTTCAACCATCACAAACGTAAACAAAGACAGTTGCTAAATCCACTGGGAGTTTTAATGGAGTCGTGTGCTTTTGTCAGGTCTGGTGTAAAAAGAGTGGACCCAGGTCTCTGGATGACCTGTAATCGGTCAAAGATCATTTATGTTTAAGCTATAATGCTGTGAAATGTTCTAAAACGTTTTAATAGGAGGCTGATTTTCAACCAAACATTTATATAGAAGATTATAGATTTCTCAGAACTGGGTTTCATCCACTATCAGTTTGACTGGTTTTGGCTAATAAATGGTATCTTTAAAGGTTTCATACTCCAACAGAATTGAGTATGGCTCCCTACGTCTCTTAAAATATATTCCAAGCCTGAAGGAATTTATTAGTTGTTGCATCGTCAAAGGCAATGTGAGGTTAAGCATAAAAACTGACACGCTGAAAGAAAACATTACTGTTGAATTCTACTTCTGTTAACATTTAAAGGATTTTATTAGGGAACATTCAGATAAAAGTAAAGAAAGCCAAGTCGTTATAAAAGCCAGAAATCTGGATCCTCATTTTGGTTCTATTCAAGTCCTCCCTGTGGCCATCACTGCTTTCTGAAGTGAGCAGAGGCTCTATTTTTTAAAGTTAACAGAAACAGGAAAGTGATGCTTTTATCACGGTTCAACAAACTAAAGTGTGGTTTTCCTCCAAGAAATGGAATAAAAACATCATTAGTTATTTGCTGTTTTCTAGAGTTTAATCTCTTACTGTGGAAACATAATGACCTTAGCTCATACACACCTTGGAGTCAGAGTGGAGCTCTAGATGAGGGTCCCGTCCGTTCTCAGCCGTCTCACTTCCAGCCTCAGTGATGCTGATCATTGGAGCTGAAGGGACAAAAACACACCAACAAAAAACAGGTCATCTAACTGCTTAATATTTAGAGAAGAAAATTCAAGATCAGAAGTTTGATATAAAGATGTCGAATTAACGATTGTTTTGTTAATTTAGATTTAAACTGATTATTAATGTGATGATCTTTAAAAAAAACAAAAAACTGTAGCTTTTACTGCACAGAGTAATGATAAGAATAATGGATGGTGAGCTGTAATAACACAATGTGTCCAGCAGGGGTCATTGTTTGTTAATTGGAAAATGTCTCGGACAGAAAACAGAAACTGCTGCAAAATAACCAAATGTGGAAAATCTCTGGAAAACACTGTGTTCTGTTTTATTTAGTTTTTTAAAGAGGAAACAAAATGATTGCTGGTGTTTATGCAGAAACGACTATAGCTCCAAGGTCAGGTTTAGTTCATGTATAGGTTTATAACTTTACTCTTATTACTCAATAGCCAGTGTCAGGTTTCTTTTTACTGTAGGTCTTTTCAATAAACAGAGGATTCTTTATTTTCATCTTTCCCTCGCTCTGTCTCTCAGTGTGTGACAGGAAACAGATGCTCCAGCTATTTCCTGTATCTGGTTTGACATGCAGCATATCAGATCCATTTCAAAAAAGATATTCAGACATAAATTTATGAAATTCCTATCGTTTCATGCTTGAAATTCCTTTTTTTGAGCATATTTCTTTTAAGGTCAAGTGTTTCTCATATACTGAGGTGCAGCAAAGGTTACCTCCATCCAGACTGCGGCTGATGCGTTTAGAGGAGGTGCGCTCAAAGCTGGGTGCTGGTCTGTCTATCAGGGAACTGGCCAGCCGGGTCTGGGCCTGAGTTCGCCCACTGTAGCGGAACTTGGATCCCAGGGTCAGAAAGCGGGCCTTGGTAGGAGCCTCTGAGGCGTTTAACCTGAAGACAAGAAATGGAGCATACCTGAATCATATTTAATGTTTTTCTTTTAAATAACCTCTCTCAGTTACCTTTATATGCACATGCCCAGTCAGACAGGATATTGAAGCTTATTCCATGTCTTATTTCATACAAACAGAGCTGCACAGGAATCCAGCAGCGTGCGCCTGGATTGTCTTTCTGTGTTTGTGTGTCTTTTACAGAAATGATCAGCCAATAAGACAAAGGAACAAACTCGTGCTTGCTGAGCCAAATTAAGCTCCCAGAACTCTACACAGCAAACTCACATCCCTGTGCAGCATGTGTGTTTCACTGTATGTGGTCATTTCTACCTGAAGAAGCTGTGGTTTTCCACGCAGACTTTCCACAGCTTTTTAGCAGATCGATGATTCTGGAGTTTGAATCCCACAGTGCTTTCGAACTGCTCCGTCTATCCAAGAAAGCACAAAAAAACATGCAGAAACTGGTTAACTGCACAAACTTAAGTATGTGCAGCATATCCGTCCATCTATCTCTACCTCTCCTGGTCTGATCTTGATATAGAAGTTGTTCCTCTTGTACGAGATCTTCAGGATTTTGGGCCAAGCGAACCGATTTATCCGCAGTCGGTCTTTGTACACCAGCAGTCCATTAGCGCAGACGCCTAGCATGATATCCACTCCCTCTGAATCCTGTCAGTCAGATAAACACATAGAAAATAAATAAAATCACTTGAAGCAAATATCAGTCTGATATTAAACTTGTGTTAACGGCACCAGTATGTCAAAACCAGATCATGCTGTGCATCAATTGATTTTTAAAGTAGTCAGCTAAAGGTTGGAGGGGAAACCCAATCACCACACACTCATCCACACCCACACACACCAGCAGGGCTTTTACATTGAAGCCCATTTGGTGGTAGTACGGGTGAATTGATTACGGTAATGAATTAACTGGATAATCAGTTGCACTAATAGACAGTGCTTTAGGTTGACAATAGACTGTTTTACCAGATTTTACACATCAAATGAAAAATGCTATGCTAAAGGCTGAACATTGATTTTTGCCATTATTCTGCAAAGACTAATAGACTTTAGTTGTTTGATCAATAACACAGATAATCAAATATAAACATGTGGACATTGGCACTATAAGCTTTTCAGACACCTGAGGGATCTTCAGATTTTTATTTACACAAAAAAACTTCTTTTATTTAGCTTTTATGCATTAATTCTGCAGCCTGACATTTTAGAAAGACATGTTGGTACATGTCTTTGGTACGTGACATGTTTTTACACTGGAAAAAATTTAAATGTAGATAAGTCATTGTTTCTTAAAATAAGTGCATTTGTTCTTGGATTGAGGAGGTAAGAAAACACAACTGTATTGTCTTATTTAGAGTGCATATAATCTACTTATCTTATTTTAAGAAATGTTTACTTATTTCTAGATAGTTTTTCCAGTGTATATAACATTTGAATGATATTTGCAACAGTTCTCAACTATGTTGCAGATGCAAAGCAAATCCCCAGGTTCCTTAAAACCATTATTAGCATTTAATTTTTGTCCTTCTTTAGTTGTAATAAAAGGTTTAAGGACTCCTTTCCAGTCTTTAGAGTAATAAAACTTTCAAACACATCATAATTGAGTCGATATAGATCCTGCATTTCCAGAATCATTAATTTTATGTGACTAACTCTCTTGGTGCTGGACCTAAGTGGAACGTGTCCTTAAAGAGGACTCGCCTCTCTCCAGATTAAACTGGTCTTTCCTCATCCTGGTCTAACCTTATTTGAACTCTTTTATATTTATCTCCATCATGATCCCTTATTCTCGTGTGTATTCCCGAGCTCATGCACATAAGGAAATATGCACCCAGTTGGCTGATGATCCGCTATCTTAGCCTGTTCTCATGGAAACGGCCTCCCCGAGTGTTTGCACAGCTGACAAACACAGATACAAACATGCGAGCGCACCGGCACGCTCGACCCACATCAAAGGAGCCGGACTAGGCCCAAGATGTCAACAACAATGGAGAGGAAGAGAAGGAGGTGTTCATTTATTCATACCTTAGCGGGGTGCAGGTCCACCCCATACATGGAGAGCTTCTTGGCATTTTCTAGAAACTGCAGGTCCGCCTGTGCGGGTGTCATTCCCCTAAAAAGGCAGAAGAGCCAACATTAAAAGAAACGTAGTTTTTGGGGCATAAATACAATCCAGTCACATAACAGCTGAAACAACACATCTATCAAACTAACAGCTCCCTGAGCTTCCAGGCTCCCTGAATCCCTTCCTCTCTGACCTGTGGGATTTGTGGAGTTCAAGAATCTTCTCCTCCATCTCTTTGTTCTGATTGGACTCGAGCTTCAGCTGACTGATGAAGTCCACAGGGCGGGGCGGATCGGGTTCATGATCACCAAATTCAGCCTGCAAATGATTCAAAACAGAATCCATCATTGGAGCTAAATACTCAATTACACATGCTTCAACACGTATTACATTAGAAACAAAAAATGCTACACATTACATATATTTTTTAGCTCTCTACCTGCAACGTGTATGACCCCAGCAAGGCGTGGGTGACGAACGAGCAAGGCAGCCGTCCAGAAGCAACATCCTCCCGCAGCTGCAGACACAAAAGGTATCTAAAAATGATAAGGTGAGAAAAGAGGCTCAAAACAGGAAGCTGGATTGGATCTTAGTCTTGACTCAGTGGAGCAGCTTTCTTTCTATTTTGCTGTTAAAGGTCTTGAATTGCTTAAGACACTTTAATCTAGCATCAAGCAGCTGTTAAACTTATAAACTATTACTTCCTTCAACTAGCTCCATAAGCTGTTTACATCTCTGGTATTAATTGTCTTTCATGCACAAATATCACACGTACATTTCGTACATCCATCTTTAATGGATCTGGTTCACTTTCACTGAATTTGCTGTATGACTCATTTTCAGTCATTGTGGGTGGTTGTTTTCAACGAATCTGAGCAACAAAGAGCCTAACATGAAACAGCAGGCCAATGCAGTTGGATGTAATAGATACTTTATTAGGAAAAAGAGGTCTGGTGGAGAACATAAACACTGCTGAAACACAAGGAGATATTGTCAGGATGTTTTTTGGATTGGCAAGATTAAAGTCCCCCCTCCAAAGAAAGGGAATATCAGTCTGGGTCTGCAAGTAGGAGGGACTGGTCAGCTTAATGGCTGGAAGTCAAGGTGAAAGGGGATTCTTTGAAAATGCTGCTTTCCCCCTCCCAATATGTGTCTTTGTCCTAAGAAGCCATAAATTAAAGCAGTTATGGAATTAAACATTATTTTATACAGAAGTAAAGACAGAATATTGACAAAAAAAAGATTTATGACACTAGATTGAGCTGAAATAATCTTTTAATCCCTAGACAAATATCTGAAACCTACAAAGAACCAACTAATAGATTAATGAATGATTTAATATTCATCTGATAAAATTCTTTAAAGCAAGGATCGTTCTTTGCTTGCTTAGACTCTGTAAGCTTTAGGAACGTTAGGTTACTGGCAACACTGAGGGGCTCCACTGCCTCCGGCCTGTAATATCTTCTCTACCTTTGGCTATTAATGCTCTCTATCTGAAAACAGGAAAAACAGATTTAGAATTTAAAAAAAACATGACCTATTCTTTAGAAGATCTTTCTAATGCTTTTTTTTTTTTGTAAAGTTATCAATTTAGACATTCTGAGGGCAACCTGCTCCAACAGTCCTTCTAAATAAGAGGAGAGCTGATGAAACCAGAGAGTCAGAGACCAAAGGTGAGCTGTCTGACCTCAACATAGGATCTATGATTTCTTCTATGATTAAATATAGTTTTCTATAAAATCTTTAAAAATCCTTCTTTCCTCTGTACTCACTCAAGTGGCTCCTAGACACCAGACAATGGTGTTCATCACTTCTGATCTTTCAAGTAGAAACAAAAAAAATTAATTCATAATTTTCCACAAATTTCAGCATTTAATATTATGTACTCTCTTTTTGCAAGTTTTTTATCATTCATTTTAAAACCTAAAATTTGAATTCCCACAGTAGTTATTTAAAAAGGAAAAATGTCCTGATATTTATTGAATGCAACTTATTTTCCTTTTTTTTTTATATATATATTTCCTTTCATGTTGGCGGCTCTAAACATATTTTATATGCTGGTCTGAAGTTAAAAAAATGTCTCTCGGGATTGCAAAGGCTGCAGACCCCAGAACTAAACACAAACCTAACCTTTTCTGTTGTTCCCACACGTAACTGTCGCAGTGAGATGACTTTGTGTTCATATTTGCATTTTTGTTTGGTTCCCTTTGATTCTCTGTTTTCTGGTTTCCCATGTTGCTGCTTTAACTTGTCAGCTATTCTCATCAGTTCCTCTTTGCACCGAGAGGCACACATTTTTCCTCGGTTGATCACACCAATTTCCTAGGGTTTTTATCCTTATTTCTAGTTTGCCTTAACTATGACTTCTGTTTAAAATAAGGTATCAACCATCTTTGAGATAATTTCTTGTTAACAGTGGAGGTGGAGGGTAAGTGTGTGGATACCTTGTAATGTCCTCAGTGAGCTGCGATGGGTCCGGTGGGTAAAACTTGACACTGAACACAAACTGCCAGTTGTTACCTGGATAAGGAAATATTCAAATTCAGTCAGATCCCAGCAGTCTTATAAACATTTGAGAGAAAAATTTGAAGAAATTGAGGAAGAAAAAGAAGCACGGCAGCTGTGAAGCAGCATTTTCAAACACAAATATGCAGATCTGGTGTCATGCAACATGCCCCAGCTTTATGAAATGCCAATCCTCATTTAGCCTTTCAATAGTATCAAAAACAAGCTGTCATCACCTAGAATATGACTGTAAATGTCTTCAACAGATGGGGCCTTCATTTAATTCAAGCTGCAACCGAAGGCTGGAGCTGTCATGACTTTTGGTTCCACCCAGCAAGAATGTGTGCATGATGTCATGCAGATCACATCATCTGGATATTTTATTCTTAGAATCCCAGACATCAGAGTGAAACCAGCAAAGGAAAAGATGCATCACACTGGTTGAAAACCTCTGGGTTCAGGTTGGTGATGGCTTTTAGATTTTTAACAGCTGTCACATCCCTCTAATAAACTTTTTTTTTTTTAATGACTACAAAAAAATATTACGTGTCGAAAGCATCTAATGCTAATAGATGTTTTCATCATGACTTCTTTATCTAAACATTCTAAAATTTCAAAAAGACAAACAGCAAAAACGTCTCATTTCAAGCTCTTTATCTAAAACTCATCTGGAACAGCCTGTAGATGCGTCTGCTTCTCCTCATTAAAGCTGCAGGACAATCCTAGATGAAAGAGTCCACTGAGGCACGTAGACCTGTCAGATAGTTTGATGAAGGAGCAACTCTGACCACTACTGTTAAATATTAAACAGCCACCACACGCTCAACTGAAAAGCCTGGGCCGGATCCAGGCCCGCTCACTTTGCATGCCCTACAGTTAGAATCAGCCAAATTAAAAGTGAGATTAAATCTCGCTGTTGTTTTCTGCCACTTCGTACATGACACAATGTGGGATCCATCCAATTCTGCCATTATTATGAGATTCATAGGCTCATCTTCATTTTTTTATTTTACATTTTTACTATAACCTATAATGCTCTAACAGAGCAGTGCCTAAACAAAAACAAGATAAAGGAATAATAATGTCGGCAGAGACGGTCTGTAATAACAGGCTTTTAAATCTGACAAACACATTGTTGTAGAAATGCATGTTGTGTGACATGAGTCACCTTCCTAAGGCAGTGCCAAAGTGCAAGTTTACCAACTTATTATTTCACTTGTTTGGGAATGTTTCAATATGAGTTCAAAGCGGATAATTTAGTTGCTTTATTAAGTCGCAGCCATCATGCGGATAGATGCTACCTACAGAGCTCTGCTTATGCTTCTACTCCCGCCATCAGCTGCGGTCCACTTATCAGGCAGCCATCTATCCATTAGTCCAAACCATGCAGCCATTACATGCATGGTTCTGTTTGTGCTGCCTCTGAATTAGCACATGAGAGTCCTTCTTTATCACAGCTGCGCTAATTCAAGCCAACAATCTGATTTTTATAAATTTATATACATATTTCTGTCATGTTTAATAAATATTTGACGCATTTTGAAGCACTATACATATATACTACATAAAGAGCAGTAATGTGCTTCAAGTTATCATCATCTATAAGGTATTAATTGCAGTGCCTTGCAGAGCTTTTTATACATTTCGCTACATTCAAACTACAAACTTCCATTTTTCTTACTAAAAGTAAAAAAAAAAAAAAACATGCCGAGTAGGAAGAAAAGGATAAAGTTCAACATCTAACAAATACAAATTGGAAAGGTGTGGTGTGCATTATTAATCACTACTAAATAGACTCCAGTGAAGCAACTTCACCTAAAGATCACCCAATAACTAAATATCAGTATGAATATAGCGATAATGTGAAGGTTTTAGAGGTTTAATAATGAGTATTGGCAGCAAAGTAAGGAATTTCAGAGATAATTTTTTACAGAGCAGGGTTAGGTTAAAAACATGATCATCCGGCTACACTTGGAGGTCAGCAAAACAGGAGCTTTAATCAGAGAGGGAGTAACTCCAGGGGCTGAAGAGATCTACAGCTGAGTAGTGACTAGAGGTTAGGTGGAGCTTAGGAATCAACAATGCTGGTATATGCTATCAACATGACTAAAAAATTAGCAAAGGATCACCTTCAAGTAAGAGAAACTTGTATTAAATGTTTTAATAGGCCCCTCAGGATGCAACTAACTTCTAAATAGTCCTTTTACAGAACAAACTACAGGATTAATATGGGTCCAAGCAGACATGCATGTAAAACCTGCAGAAAGCTGGTCCTCTGGGACCCCTGGGTTAGCTCAAAGCCTATTTGTATGTTTAATCAAAATGCACATTATCCAATTAGAATATATTGCCCAACAGGAATAGGTAAAGACCTGTAGCTGAAAGAAACATTTCCCTAAAGACAGTTCAAGTTGCTCTAAAAGAAGAACCTACATCAGAATAAAAATCATCAGTTTTAAAGCACTCACAGGATGCAGAGTGTTTTTGGAGAACACTGTTTGTGATCTTAGTAACTTTTAAAAGCCTAAGATGTGAAACAAATCACAGGGAATAGCTAAGAAATCCCTGCCCATTTATATTTGCATCCCAATGCTGTGACAGCTGCTCTCAGAACTACGGTAGTTTGGAGCAGCATGGTGTGAACCCTGTGTTTTCAGTGTCCGCATATATACAGGCTGTGCCTCTACACTCTGTGCAATCCTCATTACTTTGTAAACATTCACACACCAAAAGAATGTACACAAATGAGCATATACAGTGAGATGCATAGCACTTATCTCAATCTTTACGCACACCGCACGCTTTGCGATGCTCACATAAAGTCTGGAATAAACCACATGCATTCTGCACACGCCCAAACTCTGCTGCCTCACACATCTGCAAATTAACTAAAAAGTAAACTCTTCCGACCCTAAATTACACGCTTTTACAGTGAAGTTACAGACTTGTTTTGACTTATTTTACAAACATAAGAAACAAAGTATGAATAGAAGAGCAGAAAATACAATATTCAAGTTTTTTACCTTAGTGTCAGATTCATTTATCTTTTTTTCATTAAAAGAACAACAAACCCCATCAAACTGATGAAATATGTGAAACAAATTGAGATGTTTCAGGAAAATAACGATCGAAACCAATCTTTTAATTAAAATCTAGGAACAAAAAAAAACAAAAAAGCTTTAACTGGATTAAGACAAAATCTAAACCAAATAATGTGGTTTTACAAACGGTTTCCAAAAAGATTACATTTTCACCAACTTGTGTAAGCTTCCAAAAACTAATGACATGCTTTGCTGATATGCAATCAAACATAGCTTGTTAGCCTGGCAGCTGCTAAGCCAACCTCCAAGCATAAACAGGTGAAACACCACACTGCAGTGTTCATTTAAATATTAACCAACAGTAATGAAAAGGTCTATAAATAATGAAGCAGATGATGACACCCTAGTTAACTCTTGAACATCGCATCACTGCTGTCATTTAGCTTCCATTGTCTGTTCTTTTGATGAACTGCTTGTTTTCTTCTGTTCATTAATTATCAATTATAAATTAGAATGAGCTAGGAAGGATGAATGGATGTTATAAAAACCTGACTTTATGATTTCTAAAAAGTGAACTTACTGCGAATTTGTCTCTTAATTTCCTTGGTGGGATCCAACCAACACTGGAGAAAAAAAACACAGCAAATGGGTCATAATCTGTCCTGGAATCAATGCTATTATTCATCCTTAAACTTACACAAGGAGAACACACCTTCTCATCATGGTTGTCCTTGTATGTCAGGCCAAAGTAGTCCTTCTCCAACAGGTTTAGATGTTCACACACTTTGAAGAATAAGTACTGCCCCTTAGCTCGTTTCTGCAGAGACGAAATGACAGAAATCACAAAAAACGTCTAAACGGCAAAACTATTTCAAACATCTTTTGAAGAACTTCAATATATCACGACAATAAAATATGAAAATGTACTTAATCTGTATGCAGTTTTTCCATGTGTCTCAAGACAACCCATTCCTTCATTATCCTAACATCAGCCTTAGGCCTAAAAACCTCCACACTCAGCTATGATGGTGACATTCAGTCTCCATGTTTTTGCCCCCAAACACACAGCGGCCTCCTTCACGGACAGAATGTCAAAGGAAGGCGGGTGGAAAAGAAGGGGCAGCACATCGCAAAGAACAAAGTAATTATATAAGGTCAGATTCTTCTTCTTTTAGGTTATTCTTCAGAGCTGGACACTGACACTGAGAGGGGGGCATTGCTCAGCAAGCGTGGTGGAAGTGGAAGGAAGAGGATGAAAGAGTTCATTTTTCTTTTTGTCCTGTAAAAAGCTGGAAACATCTGTGGTATTTTCCGAAACATGGTCAAACAAGGGAGCCGATAACACACATTCTGGCTATGGACCTGAAGCCCAAATTAACGTCAGAGTGCATTTTTCCTCACGGCAAAACGCCGCTGGACCAGCAAGGCAATGCAAAGCAAGTTTATTTGTTGAGCACAATTCAGTATAAGCACAATAAAAAGTGCTTTACATGAATTAAACAATAGAATAGAAGTACTATAAAAGCAAAAAAGGATAAAAGCAAGTAGTAAAACAAACAAGAACAGCTGGATATCAACCTTAAACTACTAATATCTCAGTTAACAATTTAACTTCAACAGCTAAATACAGTTCTAAACAAATGGGTTTTTAACTTTGATTATGCTCCAAATAAGAGGAGCATAAGAAATAAGTGCTGCTTCTCCAAGTTAGGTTCTAGTTCTGGGTGATCAGAGTAGGGTGGAACTAGAAGAGTAGTTGGTTGGTACACTGACAGCAAATCCGTTATGTAATGATGTGCTGATCCATTCAGTGATTTATAAGAGAAGGATTTTATAGTCTATCCTCTGAGGTACAGGGAGCCAGTGTAAGAACTTTAGAACCGGGCTGATGTGCTCTACATTCTTATTGCCAGTGAGAACACGGGCAGCAGCGTTTTGGATCTGCTGCAGCTTTCTGATGGAATGTTTAGGTAAAATAGATGCATGATAGGGAAGTTTGTAAATACCAGCGTTTCTACGTTATCGCTCTGCATCTCATTTTGACACAGAGAAATTTTTAATTTGTAACACGAGAGAAAGCAACATGAAAGAAACATGGATTAAAATGATTTATAAGACTTCAGATATCAACATAGAAATGAATCCATAGAATTAGTTTGTATAAATTAGCTGGTTTCTAATGTTACAAAATGCATCTAGTATTGTTAAATGCTAGATTTGTGTACAGTCTGAAATCTGAACAGATTCTACCTAAATCGTGTGACACAAAAATATCCTTTTTAACCAAGTTTAGCGAGACTCTTAGAAACAGAATTAGCATCATGTGACTCCAAGAATCTCCCCTCTGACACATATTTGAAACAGTCCAAGTGATCCGGAGGTGTAAATCTGTGGTTTTGACAGAGTTGGAGGTCCGCTGGGAAGGACAGAAAAATCAAATCTCTGGAATGCTTTGCGCATCTTTCCATGCCGCCATGCTAACTGTGCCAGCATGCAGAGGGAGGGATAGATGGATGGATCTGTGTGTGTGTGTGTGTGCTTCACTACAGGACAATAGCAGCTAGTTGCAGTATCAGCGTATCTGTTGTGACACAAAGCAGCCACTGTTCAAACAACCACAGACTCTCACGGGGGAGCTGTTTGGGCGTTGGCAAACTGTAGATCAGGCAGCAGGTTCACTTTAAAGTAAACAATTGGAAACTCTAATATTGAAACCCTCCAGGATTTGGTCCTGCATTCTGTTTAAGGACACTCATAGCAGAAATGTCCGAGTGGATCAGTACAATGGCTATTTTTGGAATGCTGGATGGGGGCAAGTGTGGGAATGTGATGGGCTGTAGGTCTAAAAATGTTCAGTGTGTGGGAAACAATTTCAGATATAATTAACTTCAACGATGACATTTTTTTTGCGAGAAGGGAGGCAGGGGGATTATAGAAGATCAATACAAGAGGAAACGATGGGGCAGGATTAGATTCGTCATGTTTTTTGGTACAGGTCAACTGTGAGACACCAACAGTCCAACAGTACAAAATTTAAAGCTGAATCTTGAAAATGTACTCATGATGTCATTTGGGTCCAGGAAGCGGCCTCTCCCCCCTGGTTATGCTCTTTCTGGGTGCTCTGCTTCTCTATCTGCTCTGTCTATTCTGGACAAACAAAAGTTGCTCCCATTAACATGTAGGATAATACAGATGTGCTGTAATCCCTTATTTTTACTGTTTTAATCTGTTTTCATAAAGAAAGACCTGAAGCGAAAGTGAAGATGCTAACATATGCTGACTGTGTGAAGTTTTAGGCTCAATCCAAATACACCAAAATGTAGCTCTATCCTGGGTAGAAAAGGAGCTACTGTGCTTTTTCCAGACAGTGTTTAGCCCTCCGGACATCATAACCCCAATGAAAAATATATAGATGATTCTAGTCAAATTGGGAATAAAGCTAAAGGAACTACAAAAAAGGCAAGTTGTACAGATTTAGCGATTGGCTGAAGTTCTCTGTTAAATAAACTGAAGCTGTCAAACAATGGATTCCTTATAGTTCCTTAGCAATAGTTAGAAACTCCTTTATAATGTGAAAATTGAAGAAGAAAAAAGAAAATTGACTTACAATTTCTGTCTCTTAAAGGTTTATTGGATTATAATTTGCTCCATAGAATTAACTGATAACGTCGGCTATAAAGAATTTGTTTTTGTGTTATATTGTGCCACCGACCACTAGAGGTTAAGCATATTATTCACATTCTTTTATTAATGGCCACAATGACGCAGAATGCACTTTATGCAGTTATGTTTGTAAATATAAACACTTGATAAACTCCTTAAGTTATCACCTAAATAGCTTCTATTTAGCCATGCTGCATAGTGGAGCAGCGTCAACTTCTCTATTGTGCTCAGAAGTTGAAGATGTGAGAACAGAAGAAAGAGACTTGCTGGAAATATGCACAGAAGATTAGGAATGCTTTAATGATTAAATGCACTTTATAGAGCCAAGTTTAACATTCCTCTGAGAGCACCCAGAACCTCCAGTTTAAAAGCACAAAGTCTCTCCTCTCTCCCACCACTGATTGTGCATCAAACCGTGTGCATCAAAAACAGAGAGCTATAGCACAGTCAGCTTCCACTTCAGTTAAAGTGGAAAATAGTCTGACAGTGTTTTACATATTTTACTTATCCTTGTTTCAGTCAGTAAACTAATAGGTTACTCTGTTTATATCATGAATATGTTTAGGTTTAATAATGTTTTTTATTAAACCATTAATACAAACTTTACAATATATTGTTTCAATATAAAGCTCTAATTATAAAAAAATATATATTATTTAGCCCATCGTGTTTCCACACGAAAAAGGCAGCTAAGCAGTTAATTTAATCAATTGATAGGATCAATCAACTCTACAGCCTCCTCGTCCAACCTCCCTTCTTACTGCCGGCACTATTCAGACAGCGCTAATGACAACAGAAAACCACTTCCATTTGGTCCTTACTGATTTGATGGATTTAAATTGATTCAGAGTACAGGTAAGATTACAGAAATGTAACCACCTCTATTTATTTTTTCAATTCAATTCAGTTTAATTCTACAGCACCATTTCACAACACATATCTGAAGGCTCTTTCCAGCCACATTATAATCAGATGATCAAGTCAAGTTGGTTAAAGTTTTCCAAGGAAACCATCTGATTGCATCATTCATAGTCATTGACTTTACAGGATTTGCTTCTCCTGGATGAACATGTGGCAGTAGCAGATATTTGCTTGCACTGTGTCATTGCACCTCATGCAAGAACTGTTTATACAAACAAATTCATTCTTAAATAATTCATAAGAATGATTACGGAAAAAATGTGACATTCACCAGTTTTAATTCTATTTCTAATCATCTCCCAGCTACAAACAAATTTTACAAATTCTCCAGACTTGACATAAGAGTCTTGCCCAATCAGACAGCTGTTATCCAAGCCTAGTTTTCCACTAAATGATTGCAGTTATTTTATTTTAAGAAATTGTCTATTTTATGAGGCTACATATATTATGCAACTCCACATTTATAAATTACCTTTTTATTCCCTGATGACAGAAGTTGGTTATTATACCTGCAGCTGACCTGTCGGTATCCAGAGGTCATTGGTTTAATTTGTTATTTTGTCACAACAAAGAACAGTCATTGAGCTCTATGTGGGATCAAGCTACTATTGAAATAACACGAGAAACAGGACATAGATAGAAAGTACAGCAACACAGTAAGACTTGCACTCATTTCACTTCATCACAGCTCATTGTGTTATTAGATGAAATGAGGAATAGTTGGGCTTTGGTCTGTCTGAATTAATCAAATTAGAGTTTCAGCCCTAACATTTTTCTGTTTATTTTTGAGACAGATGGAGAGTGGGATGAAGGGATGACAGACATGGTCTGAAATGTTCATTATAAGTGTGCGTGCATTAAAAGGAAAATTAGCAGAATGTTGTGTCATGTTTATGGCAAAGTCATATCAAGCCTTTACATCCTATGTTGCTCCTCTTGTCTCCATCAGTAGTTTTATTCACCGTTTTCAGATCAAATGATTTTTCTTTTTATATTATTTGTATTTATTTAACTTCTCTAACACTGCAACCACAACATTTACAGCCACTGTGATTTTTTTCACTGGTCGTTTAATTCTGCAGCTCAGCTTTCAGTCAGCAGAACTTTATCTCCAGACCAGTGAAATGATTTCTACTTCATCTTCAATGCCATTTAATGTCTTCTGAAAAGCGTGGGAAGACGTAGACCTCCAACTTATATGCAGCCCTATATGGCATAATTGGGCTGGTGATTATGCATATTACCATTCCTCGAGAGAGAGAGAGAGAGAGAGAGAGAGAGAGAGAGAGAGAGAGGAACTCACTTACACACAGGTGGACTGCATCAGGCTTACTGAAGTTAAGAACATTGGTTGAATCTGATGTTTTCAGGTTCATAAAAGCTCACAGTAGGAGAAAAAGTAAGAGAAATTATGTTAAGAATGTAAAAATGTTGCATGAGGACCATTGAATTTTCAGCATTCCCTCACACCGAGGATGCAGGATGCATGCAGCAACAGTGGAGTGGAAAAACTCCCTTTTTAACAGGAAGAAATTTCCTGCAGAACCAGGTTTAGTGTGAGCTAGGGCTGGGCGATATAGAAAAAAAGCTATCGATAAAAAAAAATGCATATTGATCGATATCGATAATTAATGAAAAGATTTGAAACCATATTTTATGTGCAGCTCTGCCTGGACTTTTTATAATATTGCTAAATGATTTAATTTTAATAAAAAACACAAACACAGACTTCGAATTAAATCTTTATTTAACCAACTTTTTTAACCATAACAGAATTGTTTTAAAGAAAAATAACTTAACAGACCTGAGTTATGTTATTAAATACTGACAAAGAATAAACTAAAGTGACCAGAAAAGTGACCAAAATAAATATAACAAATAAATAAATGCCCCCCCACCGCCGCCGCCGCCCCCGTTTCCTGCTTTAACCTGAGTTATTACTTTGAAGTTTCTGGCCCCTCAGCATTTTTATCTCAATTGTTAGAACTACGTGGGAAACTGCCCAGAACTGAAAATATATATATATTTTCCGAAGATTCCTCGGAGGAGAGCCGCGTCGGGGCCTACACAGCTCTTACTCCTGCGGCTGTGAGCGGCTGAGATGATAAAAAAAAAGTTTGTTTCGTTATCAGACTTCGTTTTCACTGGTTCCCGACACATTTTCCAGATGACTGTGGTTTGTTTTTGGTCCGACTTGCCATGACCGAAATACTGCCAGACTGCCGAACTACAAAAACCTTTCTTTGAAACAATTTCCTCCGCCTCTCCTTGCTGCGACGTCTTCATGTGCTCTGTGTTGTGGTTTGAGAGGGCGGCGCTTGGTGACGACATGCCTGGGTCCGCGATTGTGATTGGTTGGGAGGAAGCAGTGACTAGCATAAACCTACATGCTAGGCTACAATGAGAAGGAAGGAAAACTGCGTTTCTTTTTTATCGAACTTTTATCGACCCTCTTTTTTTCTATTGCGCCACACGTCTATCGATCGATATATATCGTTATTGAATTATCGCCCAGCCCTAGTGTGAGCGGCCATCTACATAGAGAAGCGGTTTCAGAGACAAGGCCTTGCAAATCCATTCATACACCTTGAACTGGTTTTAACATTTTGTTAACTTACAAACAAAAAAGGTCAAGCATTTCATTGGAATTTCACGCAACCGACATAAACATAAGAATGTATATTTCTCCAGTAGAGGTTAAGTGATTAATAGATTTTACATTTTTCAAATGCCCTGAATCAACACCCCGCAAAACCACCTTTGGTTGCGGTTAAAACCTGGAGGAGTGAAGAGTTTTTCCATGTCTGTAAAGGCGTGGAAAAACCTCTTAAAGCAATCTAAGCTGTTGTGTTTGTCTACAGGAGAATGATACTGGGGGGTGGTAAAAGACACGTGCCTACTGGGGACCAACAGATGGGGAAAACTAATCTGGGGAGACCCCTAATCCGCCATGTGTGTGTTTTATTAACCAGACAAGCCCCCAGCAGCTTGGTCTGCTTTGCCCTTAAATTACATCCAAACAATGTGAGCAGGTGGCACCCCCACCACGGCTATGCTCTAAGGCAGGAAGTTCAAGCCCTGCAGCTTTTTCCTCCAAAGACACACACCACATCTGATCCTATTAGCGATTACATCACTGACGCAGCAGCCGCCATGTGTAGACACTTTTGATGGAACAAACCTACATTGATTGATATAGGAAGTCCAGTGACGCCTTACCTCTACTTCACAGGTGAAGTCGGTCCCATCCAGGAGGGTAACATGACACACCACCACCTTCATCTTGTTCTTCCTCACCAGGCGAAGAGGAGACTGGAAAATGGAAGTCTGGCTTTCCCCACCGTCTGTTTCAGCCTCCACGTGTCCTTCAGACTCTTTCTTCTTTTCCTCCCTCTCTGCTTCTTCTCCCTCTGCAGCCTCTTTGGTCTTCTCTGGACTTTTCTCTTTAGTGTCTTCCACCTTCTCTTCCTTGGCCGGCTGTAAGGAAAAAAGCGAGGAATATGGTATCAAATAAACCAACCAACATGTTTTTGATTGGTTTCACTCAAACATTTCTGAATGAGGTCTGATTTCTTCGTTATGGCATATAAACTTCAATTGTTAGTTCAGAGTGAGTCTGAGGAGCTCACTTTCCCCTCCTTTACACTCAGTGTGTTATCCCCTTTCCAATTTGATGTTTAAAGGGAAACAGGCTTTTTTGTTTTTTGGCCTGATGACTAAAATGTTGATGTCAATGGGTGGACCCCTTTGGAATAATGTGATCAGTGGACTGAACACCACATGTCTGCATGCTGGAGAACTTTAAGAAGCAATGAGGAAAATTTAAAGAGAAAAATAATGCACATAGAAACATATATCAGATCTATCTCAGTTTGGTTCTTCTTTTCTGCACTGAGGTCCGTTCTCTAAAATCATTGAAACAGCATCTGTTTATGCTGTATTGGGGATGATGCGTACAGCTCAATCAGTACCTCACTGGCGTTGGAACCAGATTCAGCTTCTTTTGTTTCCTTCACTTCCTCCGACTTTATTTCCTGTGTCTCTTCCACTTCCTCGGCGTGACCGTTCAGTTCCGGGACAGGCTCCTCCGCTCCCTCCGTCCCCTTGCTTACAGGTTCCTCTGTCGGTGGGACCTCCTTTGTTGGAGACGTCTAAAATAATGAACAGAAAAAAAACAGATTTTAAACAACAACAAACCTAGCTGATAGTAAAAGTTATTTCAGTCTCAAAAAGAACAAATAAAAAATTACCTGGCTTTGAGATTTCTGCTTCTTAAACCATGTTGGCAGGTATCGAGTTATCCCTTTGCCTTCTTTGCCCTCTTTTTCCTTCTCCTTGCCCCTTTCCTTCTCCTCTCCTTCAACGTTTGCTTCTTCCTGACCTTCCTGCTTGGCCGTATCTGATTGGTCCTTCTGAGCAGCTGTTTCTTCTGCTTTCTCCTTCACCTCTGTCTCAGAGCCTGCTTCTGTTGTCATGGTGACGGGTCAATCTACGAAAGAGAGGGGGAAAAAAAACGGAGGTAAGTGATGAAGCATGAGTCAGCCATGATGAAATGATTTTTAGGACCCTGTGTTCTTGGGGCGGGAAAAGAAAACAAACTGAGGGTATGTCTTACTTTCAACCTCATGCAAATGTTTGTCTTACATCAGCTGGAAGCAAAAATATGATTTCATGTTTCCACACTGAGGTTTTCCTTAGGGTCAAGCACATAGAGATCAACCCAGAGAAAGAGCAAATTCCCCCTATTGTTAAAACATGAGTCACAACGTCTTCATCCTGCAGCTGTGCTCAGCATAAACTAACATTTCAACCTAAATTTCTCCGGCAGCCCTGTCCACACAGCCTTTCACAGTAACAGATACTTTCAAGCAGCATGACACTAATTTGTTGCTAACGCTGCGAGACTGTGACACCATTCAGGAGAATAAGAGGTCACGGATGATAGTGAATCAAACACAACTCTAACAGCTTTGATGAAAAAAATAAAATCCATATCATTCAACTCGATTCATGTCTCTCATGCTGTCCTTCATAAGGCTGACTTCTTTGTGCCGTGTTAAATAAAAGAGGACGCAAACATTCATGGAGCAGCAGCGGTGCAGAGGGAGGGGGTCGGAGTAAAAATAGAACAGGCCTTCTTACGCATGATTGGCTAATGAGGTAGAGCTAGGGGAAGAGATGGATGGTGAAAGGTGTGTGTGTCTGGGAGAAGCAATAAACTGCTTGATTAGACAAGAAAACATGCCATATAAGAGACATGGCTGGTAATATTTTAGAGCTTTCATCAATTGAGAAACTGATTCCTTAGTAGTTCAACCTTCAGTCAAAATAAAAGAGCAAAGGAAATCATGACTTCAGGATCAAGAATAGAAAATCAGCAAAGCACTTATACAAAAGAGGGTGCTTGTTGATCTAGGAATGTAAAAGTAACATCGAGGTATAAAGCTTTCATCCTGATGTAGAGTCAAAGGATCATATTTCTTTTTTTTTTATCTGCATCAGAGTAACTATAAAGATATACTACTACATCAGTTATGTAAACCTTCAGGCTTTTTATTTATATGGCCATAATTTCCAACATATCATCTCCAGGTGCATAGAGAAAGAAACAGTTAAGCATTCATTCCTCCCAGCTATGTGGGCCATGCAAGGGAAAAGCGTCCCCACACCATGATGCTGCCACCACTATGTTCCAGGGTGGGAAATGTGTGCCTGGAATGAAGTAGTGTTTAGGATGTATTGTAACATCTAAGGAACACTAAGGCCATTTCTTACACTGGATTCCAACTGTAGGAAATTCTGAACTTCCTCCATTTTTCTTCTACTTTATAAATATGTTTTACTTGTGGTTGGGTTATAAAGTGGTAGTTTTAAACTGATTAAATATAAAATTAAACTAGATTCAATGAATTCAATTGTCTTATAAAAAGAGATCCAAGTGTTTAACACTACTTAGATTTAGGCTGGTAGAATAAAAAAATTAGTAAATAAAACAGAATGAATGCCTCTCTTTGAAAGTTTATCCAGAGATGCCATCTAAGTGGAGCTTCGTCATGGCGGCTTAACCCTGCTTTAAACTCACCCTCTTTTTGTGCAGCTATTTAACACCAGGAACTTTGTTCTGGTGCTCCCACAGCTTCAACACTCTCTTCTCCTCCACCTTCTCCCCATTTCTCTCTTTTCTTCTCTGCTCAGGAAGAGCAACTCTCTCTCTTCCAAAGCCCGATTTTAACCTCCCCCATTTACATTATCTCCATCTAAACTCATATGCTCTCTCCTTTCTTCAAACAGCACTTGTAAGACATAGAAGCCCATAAAACTAGCTTTACAGCATCTAATGGTACAGCAGCTATAACAGCTGGTTCAAACAAATGAGGTCACATGCAGGTTAAAGTACATGGCCTCACCTAGCTAGACAACTCATTGAGGACGGTTCTGAGTTTGTCTCCAGGTGTAAACTGGGGTTACAGTGCATGTTGGTCAAAGATTTTAAGCTCAATTAGTGACGTTCAAGAGAACAAGTGGTTTAAGCGGACATAAGAATCCAGAAAACACGGTGTAAACAAAGCTAGCAGATAGAGGACAGATAAAAACAAAAGCTGGGGTTGGTGATTAAACATTCCTGAGCTTTCTCCCCATTTACCTTTGCATGTCCCCACAGATTTAATCATTATCCCATAGCATGCATTACTGCTTTTCTCAGCCTTGTGCATTTAATGTGATGCACTTTACATTCATTAGCTTTACAGCACTACCACAGACCGAAAACTTCCCCTTTTTAAAGCTGAGAAATGTTGATTAGATCACATTGTCTGCCTCTGTTAGCTTTGGTTTTCTAAATGAAGGGATGAATTTGTGGTATTGAGCTGATGAACTCATAGCCTTACCTACTCTCTCTTCGATCCTTCTCACCTACAGTTTTCTCCTGAAATCACGTTCAGCTCTTTCTGCCTTTATTGTCGTTTTTTTTTTCCCTTTCTACTCCTCTCTCCTTCTCTTTCACAAACAGCCTGCCCTACTAAGTGTGATTGCCATTTTCTCTCCTCCGTCCCTCAGAGCTCCACTTCCCCCTCGGGAACATCACTCGGAGAAACGAGGGCATCAAGCGGGAGGGAAATTCAGAATCTGGAGGGAGGGGTGGAGTTAGAGAAGATGGGTGGGAGAGACAAAACACATGAAGGAAAAAATAACAGCACATGCCTACTGCAACAGATTACCAATGGACGTGGATTGACTTCCTCCTCTTCCAAAACAACCTCCTTTACTCCAATTCCTCCTCCTTTTTTATACCACTCGATTCAGCATTTATGAGCATCCTAAAAGCAGCACTAGCTGAGTTATCAATCCCTAATTTTTGGACTGCAGAGAGAGTACCACCCAAAAAGTAACCTCAGAGACTTTAAAATCCCTATGATAATCATAAGATATGACTAGCATTCATAAAATATGTTTCGCCCATTCAATACTGGAGCAAAAACAACTGATTTAAAACAGCTTTTATATATGGATAAGGAGGAGCCTAGAGTAGAAAAAATTATCTTCAACTAAAGATGACCATAATAATCAAGGTTTATAATCTGTCTCCCTATATTCATGTTCCGTTTCTATGCTTTATTGAAGATAGTGGGGCTTTCTAGGTGATAAAAAAAGCACATACGTACCACCCACCCTATTCTACAGGGCGTAGCAGGGCGAGAGTGGAGGAACAGGTTTCTATGGCAAAGGCATTCATCGCCTGCAACAATAAATCCCCATGGAGACAAGAGATTACAGCGGCACAAATAAATATCAGTGGACGAGGGGATTGGTGACAATAGAGAACATAAGCGTGTCGAACTGCTTTCAGAGCACATCAGGGTTACATGCAATGCTCATTGAGGACCAATCAGAGGTGGAACGGTTACTTCTGACCGCCTCCTTTCATAGCAGCATCAGGAGAAAAGTGTCCTGCTAACACCAGCAACTTTATCAATGACCGTCTTTAAAAAGAGATCCTGATGGTGCTGAATTTATGACTTCATTGAGCAAAGTAAAACCATGGTCAACTGATTACTATTTGCAAAATGAGGTGGCAGTGTGCAAACTATAGAGCTACTTCTGTTTACATCCAATCCGGTATTTTGAGTTCTGATATCAACACATCACAAGGGTTGAAATCCAAGCTGCTCTGTTAGCTTACTGATAATGTCAATTTTCTAAAAAGAGACAGACACCAAGCAATGTTAGCAGCCAGCTAGCAGGCTAGCATTCAGAGCAGCTCTGTGATTAACCAGCTTTTAATCATGTGTCGCTGAATGGGAAAAGTTTTACACAAGAAACACGTTTTAATAATGTTAAACTACCAAGAGGTGGAAGCATCAGCACAACCTGCAATATAATTAACTTAAACTTTTGAAAAGTACCACGTTAAAGAGCACAGGGGGCAGACAGGGTTCAGGAAACACGTATGGAGTCATTTAGAAAAAAACTAAGTAAATGTTAACACTTATTGCACTTTATCAGGGGTCTCCCCAGCATGTTTCAGGGTAACAGGTCATTACGCACAAAAAAGTCACTGTTCTCCTGAAAACCAGGCTGATACCAGGCAGGTCCTGATACAACTGCTTAATTTCTTATACAATACCGATATTGCAGCTGGCCGATACCGATATTGTTTTAATATGCCGGACGACGAAACGTGGATGCAATATTAATATCGGATTGGGACATCCCTAGCCAATACTGGACCTTTGACTGACACATCCTCCCTCCCCATTACAGCACAGACGCTGGTTAGGCTGAAACGTTTAGAATTTTAATGGAAATATGCAATATCCTGTGTATTAATGAGCATAGTGGCAATATAAACAGTGTTTTAAAACATATTTAGCTCCTATTTGCACAAACACCTTAGGGAAGTTCTGTGAACACCGCACCATCAGGACCGATATCCATTTTTTGGAAAACTTTGGAATTGTTACTGCAAAATGAACCAGTAAACTAAGTTTGTGCTAATCAGAGAAAACTATCTTTTTATTTCATTTACAAAGCGGTAGTTTTAAAAAAGTTTACTATTTATGGTGATCTGTCTTGCCCAGATACAGAGTTTACCAGCTTTATACTAATGTTACAATGATTTTTCTTAAGAGGCCAAAATAATTTTTCTAACCAGCTAAACTAAAGGGCAACTTAAAAAGTTAATTCAAGAAATTTTTATGTATTTTAATTTATATTTCTTTTGTGTAATTAATTTTCCTCTTGATCATCCCTGAACGAGGAGTACAATGGGTCTCGTTTGAGTGCTCCGTTAGGCTCCGTTAGGTTTACCAAAAAAAGCTTAAAAGTGTCAAAAGGCCATCAAAATTATATTTAGACAGTGAAAGACAGAGGAAGGGAGGGAAACGAGTCAGTCTGATTTCAAGATATTGGTATCCTGTAGAATAAAAACACAAAAAAACACAATGCTCTGCATTAGTATTGATAACCAAGCTTATATAACAGGGAATAATG